TGTGTTGAGGTGTTATCCATAGTGAAGACTGTAGTTTTTGATCTTCATCAGTAGGTGCTTCAAGTCCTTTTCACTTTCAGCAAGCAGGGTTGTATTATCTGCATATCGCAGGTTTTTAATTAATCTTACTCCAGTCCTGATGCCATGTTCTTCTTCATATACCCCAGCTTCTCAGATTATTTGATCAGCAAATAGATTGAATAAATATGGTTAAAGCATACAACTCTGGCGACTGTACTTCCTGATTTTAAACCATGTGGTACTCCCTTATTCTGTTTGAACTACAGGTTCCTCATGAACACAATTATGTGCTCTGGAATTCCCATTCTTCACCATGCTATCCATAATTTGTTCTGATCCACACAATCAAATGCCTTTGCATAGTCAACAATTTACAGGTAAACATCCATCTGGTATTGTTTGCCTTCAGCCAAGATCCATCTGACATCAGCAATGGTATCCTTAGTTCCACATCCTCTTCTGAATCCAGGTTGCATTTCTGGAAATTCCCTGTCCATTTACTGTTGCAACTTTTTAAAAATTATCTTCAGCAAAATTTTACTTGCGTGTGATATTGATGATATTTTTTGATAATTTCCACATTCTTTTAGGATCACCTTTCTTTGGAATGGGCACAAATATGGATCTTCCAGTCAGTTGACCAAGTAGCTGTCTTCCAAATTTCCTGGCATAGATAAGTAAGCACTTTCAGGGCTGCATCCATTTGTTGAAACATGTCAATGAGTATTCCATCAATTTCTGGAGCCCTGTTTTTGCCAGTTCCTTTAGTGCAACTTGGACTTCTTCCTTCAAGACCATTTTTTCTTGATCATATGCTTCCTCCTGAAATGATTGAATGTTGACCAATTCTTTTTTGGTACAGTGGCTCTGTGTATTCCTTCTATCTTCTCTTTATGCTTCCTACATCATTCCATATTTTTCCCATAGAATCTTCCAATATTGCAACTCAAGGCTTAGTATTTTTTCTTCTGTTCTTTCAGCTTGAGAAATCCCAAGTTCTTCCCTTTTGGTTTTCCAATTCCATGTCTTTGCCCACTTTCACCACTCATATGTCAGTTTGTCATACTGTGGTAGCTTGTGTGTTGCTGTGAGGTGGAGGCCACGCCACTAGTATTTCACATAGCAGCAGAGTCACTTATGGTTGACAGGTTTCAGTGGAACTTCCAGACTTAGACAGACTGGGAAGAGGGACAGAGCCATCCACTTCTGAAAAAATTGGCCAATGAAAACCTTATGAATAGGCGTGAAACACCGTGTGATATGTTACTGGTCTTCCTTTTAGGTGTATGGATATTATCCTACCACTGACAGCATACTTCAGGATGGGCCTTGAAACATTCTTTTTAATGTTCAATGCATTTTGTCATTCTCCTCATAGACTATGTTACTGTCTGATTCAAAAGGGGCAATATCAGCCCATTTCACCTCATTAATGCCTTGGATATAGATCTTTTTGCAGTCCATTTCATTTTTCACAACTTCTGATTTTTCTAGATCCATCCTTCATATATCCCACATTCTAATTATTAATGGATGTTTGCAGCTGTTTCTTCCCATTTTGAGTTGTGACCCATCAACAAATGGAGGTCCCAAAAGCTTTACTCCATCCACATCATTAAAGTCGACTCTACTCTGAGGAGGCAGCTCTTCCCCAGTCATATTTTGAGGTGCCTTCCAACCTAAGGGGCTCATCTTCCAGCTCTGTATCAGTGTTTCATAGCTGTTCATAAAGTTTTCCAGTAATATATCACATGATGTTTCACTGCTATTCATAAGGTTTTCACTGACCAATTCTTTCAGAAATGTTTAGTCTTGTCTTTCTCCCAAATTTGTCTTAGTCTGGAAGATCCGCTGAAACCTGTCCACCATGCATGACCCTGCTGGTATGTGAAATACTGGTGTCACTGCCTCCAGCCTCAGCAATACACTAGCCACCACAGTACAACAAACTGACAGACAAGTGTCAACGGTGTACTATTTACAATAAAAATGAACCTCAAAATTATTTTCAGTGAAATCAGAATATAAATTGTGTAAAAGACAAACTAATCTACAGTGACAGAAAGCTAATAGATCAGTGATTGATTGCCTGTGGACAGACTGGATTACAAAGGGATAGGAACCAACCTGGGGGCTGATGTTTTGGTTACTTCATGCTGTTCTAACAGAAAATACCACTAATGGGTCGCTTTAACAAACAGGAGTTTATCCTCTTACAGTTTAGGAGGCTAGAAGTTCGAGTTCAAAGTGCCAGCTCTTCAGCTTTGCCTCTTGCTCCTGGAGCATTGAAGCTGGAGGCTTTTTATTAACTCAGGCAGCTGCTGGCTGCTGAGGCTGGCAAACCCAAGGTTGACAAGTAAAAAGGCACACTAACAAAATTATCAAACTACACGGCAGGACACGAATTCAATTCCCGAAAAGTCCCAAGATCAGCAGAGCATGGCAGGTTGCTGAATGAAGACTTGCCTATATGCAGGGTCCAAGCATGCCAAAAAGCTGCAGACCATTCCCAAAGCTTCTCCTTATATACCAGAAGCAGGCCACATCCCTAAACTAGCTACTCAGGACTCAGGTGCTCACGGCAGATTCTACCATGGAGTTGATTGCCAGTCTCATCATGGGAAATAACTACATGCAGCTACCCAGCCACTCAAAATCAGGACCAGCCAAGTTGATGACACATCACTTTAACTACACCTTTATTGTTGTGATTTTGTGAATGCATATGTCAAAAACATCAAACCATGTACTTTACATATGCAGTCTATTTTGCATCAATTTTACCTGAATAAAGCTGCTTAAAGATGTCCCCAGGTGGCACAGTTTGCACTCAACGGTTAAGCTAAATGTTGGCAGTTTGAATCCACCTAAAGGTACCATGGAAGGCCTGGTGATGTGCTTCTTTGAAAACTACACCCAAGAAAATCCTATGGGGAATTTCTACTTTGTAACACATGGGATCACCATGAGTGAAAATCTACAGGACAGCAATTAACACAGCTGCTTTAAGCACACATGTGCACACACACACACAACAAAACCCTTAGGGAGTCTACCATTAATTTTACTGGAGTTCATGTCATTAGAAAAAAGCCACACCCAGAAATCCATTTTCCATTAAGTCCTCTACCTCAGGCTTCTACTGCAAGGTTCGAGGGACAAAGTCCTTACATTTAAGCCCTGTTGAGAGGATCTGTTAAGGCCTACCCTTTAGTCCTCAGGGAGCTTTTTGTTTCAATTCAATCCCTTGTGACTTTTTAAATTCAAACCAAGCAATTTGGAAATTATGGGATTAAATGAAACAAAAGCAAACTTGTTCTTGCCCTGGGCTCTTGCTTATTAGCACACTGATTGCAGACAAAGATAGCATGATTCCACACATTTCCAGTCTTTCTAGTATTTGGCTGTTTAACCCAGGTAGTCCAACTGGTTTAGTGAATTAACATGCAAGTATGAAGTGTTTGCTATCTAAAGCTTATTTCAAGATCCAGCCCCTCAACTGACTGAATTAAGACACTGTGGGTAGGGGAAAAAATACTCAATGGAGCCCAGGAACCCCTTGAGACAAGGATCCACTCAATGTCCTCCAGACACAAAAGCAGTGGTAGTTTTTAAGTGCCATTTAATTGATTTTCAACTCATAGTAACCCCACGACAGAGTAAACTGCCCCATAGGTTTCCTAGGTTGCCATTTTAACTGAATGAACCTTGGTGGCACAGTGGTTAACTGCTTGGCTGCTACCTAAAAGGTCTGAAGTCTGAACCCTTTAGTTGCTCAGTGGAAGACAAGCCAATGTACTTCTTTAAAGATTTAAGGCCTTGGAAACCCTATTTGTTCTATAGGGCTGTATGAGACAGAATTGACTAAATGGCAATGGGTTTGGCTTTTGGGGGCAGGGGACTAATCTTCATTGTTGTTAGGTGCTGTTGAGTTGGTTTCAACTCATTGCAATGCTATGTATAACAGAACAAAACACTACCTGGTCCCACACCATCCTCACAATTGTCCCTAGCTTGAGTTCACTGTTGCGGCTACTGTGTCAATCTTCACAAAAGATAATCAATCAGGTCTTTCTTCCCTGGAGCATAGATTCGAATGGCCAACTTTCAGGTTAGCAACTAAGCATTTAACCCTCTTAATTTAGCTGTTTCCAGAATGAAGATGTTTATCAAAATAAAAGGTACATATCATTTATTAAATTTATAATAATTCTATTCATAACAGGTACAAAGTTTATTTCCACATGTATATACAAAATACATACTATATTTTTCACATATAACACACCCACATAAAAAAAAGCATGTGCATAGGAAACTAAGGTATGAAGGGTTGGTATGAAGGGTTGGTTAACGTGGTTTGCAAAAAGTATAATGCTTGTATATGCATAAAATCACAGAATTTTCATACTTTCACATATAAAAATACAGAAATATTTACATATATACAAAAATATTAAAACACAGACTTCAAAGATAAGGAAAACAAGTAAGATATTATAAAGGCTATTTTTTTTTTTGAGGAAATATACACTGAAAAAGAGGTTTAAGAAAGGTGATAAACACTGACATTAACAGATTCCAGAAGCTAATATTTCAATTGGTATTAATTTGGTAGGGCAAATAAAATGTATCAATGTAATGAAGATTTAAATTTCAGATTGTCCAGGTAAAATTCTACAGCCTTCCTTTATTTAATCTATTTACCCTCAGAATCATAAATATCAATAATTACAGCTAACCATATTTCCTTTTTTAAAATATTAAATTTTCTGATCTATAGTGAAATTTTTTAATTTATTCACATTCAATTATAAACTGTTTCATGAAGTTGTATGCCATCTTTGTTCACTGGGAAGTATGCCCCACATACCACATCAATTTCAATATAAAACTGAAATCCACAATATATTTATTTTTTATAAATTAAAACCTAACATCTTTTAACTAATCTTCATGTCAATTACAATAATAAGAGATTACAATCTTCGTAAATTCTTTTTGCTCTTTTTAGTACCAGGTAGAGGTGCCATTTTACAACTTGCTTTTAGAGGTTTGCCATTTGAACAGTTTTTGGTAGTATGATAATCACAGAGACATCTTGTACAATAATCAAATCCACAGCTTTCTCGTTTGCAGGTGGCCCGTTGTAGGTAGCTATCGTATTTTGCAGGTGAATTACAGCGAACACAGGCTTTGAGACTTTCACTATTTTTCAAAGTCTTTGCAACCTAGAAAGAAAATGATCCATTAACCAATTTAAGTATGGAATGTAGCATATTTTTGCAGAATACACCCTTGGACATAATGTGCACATGCATATAACATGCACAGGAAACTTAACGCACAAATGGGTGTGGGATTTGCAAAACAAACAAACCAACAAGCATGTTTAATACACATTTTTATTTGCATAAAAATACAGTAATTTAATTAATAAAACCATGAAGGGTACACTAGCACTATGAAGTACAAAACATGAAAGTACTGGATAAGAAACCTAAATTTTCAAAAACTTACTCACCTCTACCTCCCTTGCCCAATATATGTACAAATCACCAACTTTAAACGTAAGAAAAGTCCTAACCGTAAGGAGCTTACTGTTCTATGGGTTCCAGTGGCTATTTCCTACTGCTTCTTTAAATGTATTTACTTCATGAATGTCTACTCATGAATCAATGCCTAACTTAAATGTCACCGTTTAGTGAAGTCTTCCTAATCTCAAGAATTGGTTGTTCTCTCACTTCTACTGCTTTTTATAGCACCTATCACATTACACAGGAGCTCTCATAGTATAGTGGTTAAAGCATTTGACTGCTAACCAAAAAGCTGGTAGTTCAAACCCACCAGCCGCTCAACCTAAGGAAGATGAGGCAGTCTGCTTCCATAAAGATTGACAGCCTGGGAATCCCAATGAGGGTCACTATGAGTTGGAATTAACTCAATGGCAGTCAATTTGGTTTTTTTTGACATCACATTATAAAAAATCCTGGGTGGCACAGTTAAGCATCTGGCTACAAACTGGAAGGTTAGGAGTTCAAATTCACCCAGAGGCACCTTGGAAGAAAGGCTTGGCGATCCACTTCTGAAAGATCAAGCCACTGAAAACCCTATGGAGCAGTTCAACTCTGCAATACACAGGGTTACCACAAGCTGGAACTGGCTCAAAGGCAATTGGTTTGGTTTTGGATTTGGTTGATCACATACGGCATTTATTTTTGTGCAGCTATTTCCAGATCTGGATTGTAAGTCTAGCAAGGCCACAATTTTATCTATTTAGTACCTGATACACACAGATGCTCAAGAAATGCTTTTTGAATTTATCTGCATACTGTATTACAGTAATTATATCATGAACATTTAAGACAGAAACTATCACTACTGTCAGTTGCCATCAATTCAATCTCGACTTATGGCAATCCTTAAATTTTATTATATACTTTAGAATGAGGGACAGATATAAGAATGTCCCCTCATTAACAGGTCCTAATAGTGCTAATTAAAATTAATACAATTTAAATGACAATTCTCATCAGATATGCAAACATGGTAGGGGAAGAAATTAGTCAACCTTATCTAAGGTCAAGTGACAGTTTGACCTTAACAGTTCTTTTTTCCTCTCCCTAACTCCTTTTCCCAATCAATGATCCATGGTTCTAACTTATGAATAAATCAAAAATTACCTCAGAGAACTCACTGTGTCGGCTATAAGTAGAACCTTCCTGATCACCTCGATTGGATAACTTCATTCGAGTATCTTTTTTCTGGACAGTCTGGGCTGCTGATTTTTGAACAGAAGCTAACGGTGTTCTGAACATAGTATGCTCCCTGGTCGAAGCATGTGGTGAAAATTTAATAGCGTTTCCCTAATTAAAAAAAAAAAAAGTTTTATTGGACTTAAATAATGATTTCATTTATATTCAGCAATCAGGAATTTTTATGTTTGTATATATAACAAAGGGCAAATTAGAATGTAAGAGATTTACCCCATACCCAATATACCTGCATTAAACAAACATATAACCATTCAGATATTTGAAGCCTGATAGCTAACACTAATTCTGCAGACATTGTGAACCAGAAAACTTGAGAAAAACCACTTTACATGCTTAGTCCACACAGCACTTACTACGCTTTCTAATTATCCCGTGTCAGAATGAAAGTTTATTCTTCCCACAACCACTAGATGGCAACAATCACTTTTGTTATGTTGTTGTTATGTGCCCTCGAGTCAAACCTGACTCATAGCGACCCCTCCTTGGGTTTCCCAGGCAGTATCACTACGGAAGTAGGATTGCCCAACCTTCCTTCCGAGGAGTGGCTGGTGGGTTTGAACCGTCAGCCGTCTGGTTAGCAGGCAAGTGTCTTAGCCACGGTGCTACCAGAACAATCACTTTTAGTATCACCTCAACATTAAGAACAGCTTTGAAAACCTTTCAGATCAGAAAATTCTCCATAATTAATACATACCAGTTTATCAACAAATAAATTGAACTTGGAGGATTAAGGAGTAATAGACTAAAATTACACAGCTAGTTGAGTCCCAGCAGTAAATTTGGACCTAATAAGTTTGTCCAACTCAAAGGCCTTAACTTTTAATTTGTACTGATTTTGATTTTCAAATACCTCCAAAGTTACTACTTTGAAAGTACACACATGCCCTCCTACATGAAAGATCTTCACTATGTTGATAATTTACTGCAAACATAACCTATGTATATAGTAAAACATAAAAGGGACAAAGTTATGAAAACCTCTTAGCCATAACTAAACACCCTGAGGGACTGAGTAACTGGGCTTGAAGGCTCAGTATATAGTCTTGAGAGACATCTAGTTCAACTGGCATAACATAGGTCCATAAAGACAGTGTTCTAAATCCTACTTTGGTGAGTACTGACTGAGGTCTTAAGCTCGCAAGTGGCCATCTCAGATTTAACTATTGGTCTTTTCCCATACAGAGCAGAGAAGAGTGAAGAAAATAAAAAAGGAAACAGTTAGTCCAAAGGACTAATAGGCCACAAGAATCAGTCTCCACTAGCCTGAGTCTAGAAGAACTAAATGGTACTGGGACACCAGTACCAACCATTCTGATCAGGATCACAACAGAAGGTTCCAGACAGAGTGGGAGAAAAATGTAACACAAAATTAAAAAAAAATAAATAAAAATAAAAAAGACCAGACTTACTGGTCTAATTGAAACTGGTAGAATCCCTAAGACTCTTAAGACACCCTTCAAACCTAGAATTGAACCTACTCCTGCAGATCACCTTTCAGCCAAGCAATAGGCCTATAAGTGAACAATAATACCTGCGAGGAACGTACCCCTCAGAACAATTGTTCATACAAAACCAAAAGGGCAGCATTTACCCAAAAACAAACTTTAGAAGGCAAGAAGGGACAGGAAAGATGGGTGAATGGAAACAGGGAGCCAGTGAGGAAGTGGAAAGAGTGCTATTCCATTGAGGGGACTGTAACAAATGTCACGAAACAAAATGTATATAAGTTGTTGAATGGAAAACTAATGTGTAAACTATCACCCAAAGCACAATAAAATGTAAAAAAAAAAAAAGATTACAGCCTTGGCAATCCTATAGGGAAGTTCTATTTTGCCCTATAGAGTGGCAATGAGTCAGAATCAACTTGACGATAACGGGCCTTTTTTTGTTGCTCATTTTTTAATAGGCAAGAACGCAAATAAAATACTTTTCCAAATTTTCCAAAAGTTATATCTTGTTACTTTCAGACATTACATTTCTAGGGAAAATCAAAGAAATGACTGTGGTTAGATTCTTTTCTTGTTAGCTTTGATTTTTTTTTCCTAAATGAGCTCTAGTGAAAAGCTCAAGTACTTTGTGAATGTAAAAGCTTCCAGATTACCTATTATCTTTCTTATTTCTCTCTCCTATTATCAGTATATTTTAAAAGGAAAATATTCACTATGAAGACTTACAGAAACTCTTTGCATTGCTTTATTGTACAATTGGAATGCCTCCTTATCATCTTCTAGAATCTTCTTCCAAGTTGTACTCACTTTAGCTACACTGCAAAAGTAAATAGTTACAATTAAAATATCACAAAGAGCTAAGAAAAATATATTACAAAAACATTAATAATGCCAAAAAAAAAAAAAAAGGGAAGACAATAAATAATATTATCAGTGGTTCTCAAAACCTGGTTGCATTTTAGAATTGTCTGGTGCACTTTAAGATTTAAGGATGACCAAGGTCTAATCCTTACTTACCTGGTTTAAAAAGGGGCCCCAGCTTCTGCATGTTTTTAAAAATGCCATACTAAGTAATGCAAAGTATATTCAGGCTTAAAAAACACTGCTTTGCACTTTTTCATAATTATCTGTACGCATCAAGGGACTTGCCCCTATGGTACACAGCAACATGTCAGTAGTCTATATGGTAAAGGTTGTAGACAAATTTCAAAATACTCTAGGACAAACTCCTTTTAGCAGAAAAGAACACAAAGTTCCCAAGAAACAATCATAGTCAGATCCCAGTTTGTGGGTTTCTACAATTTTCATTGCTGTCACACTTAGGAGAATCCTGCATCAAAATGGTAAAAAGAATAGAAGTTATCTTGTATTTTCAGATGTGACGAAAATCACAATGCCTATTAGACTGGAACTAGGCTATTGTTTTATAGTTAAGCCTGAAAGATGTAACTTACATGTTATAAATTTCAGAACTGAGAGGAACAAAGATCCTCATCTAATAGAAATAATTTTCTAATAGTACAAATACAAAATTTGCAAGAGCTGGCTTAAATGCATTTGTCACTCAACAGCACATAGGCAGTAAAATACCACCTCTCAGGCTAAAGTCATTATCTCCACTGAACAACAGTGAACGCTACCTCAGACACCCTTTTATGATGAAGTACAACACTGGTGTAGAGCCACATAACAAAAATGTTCAGTCAGTGATAATACACTCAAAGTAATAATACTTACTTGATTAAGTCCATACCACTGAGCTGTGCTAAAATATCCGCTAGAAGAAGTTTGAGTCCTCTTCGAAAGAGTTCACTGAGAATATCTACATATTCTAGGCCCATTTTCCTGCCAATTATATTCTGTAGTCTAAAATTTCCACTGGATAGAATTTTCTTTAGTATTTCCCGATCTACTTTAGGATTTCGCTTGGCATTCTTTTTTAATGTCGAACAAACAACTTTTTCAAAATGAAGAACTGGCATTAAGCTTTTGTTGGGATATTGGTCTGGGCTTTGTGTCTGTAGCAGGCAGGACTGTGGACTGTCACTTACATTTTCCTCCAGGGGAAAGCTACCCTCCTCGTGTTCACTGAGGCCACTTTGTTGAGAAAATGAGGAATAGCCACTGTCTTCATAAAGTCTACTGGTCTCTAGTTGTATTTCATTTGGACTATCAAGTATCTGTTGCACATGTTGATTTTCCTTGTTATGCAAAGGCTTGCTTTCAGTTTCAAGTTCTACAGTTGTGGGGCTCATGATTGGTGATGCGATATAGGATAACCTTTCATAGTCTTTATTGCAGTCTTTACAAGAAACTTCCAAATATGCAGGAGTGCAGGAACCCAGTCTTCTACCATCATCAGGCTTTACTAGTTTCAGTCCAGAATGAACATGGTCACAATTAAAATCACACTTCATTTTGATAGACAGAGCGGTATTTTCTTCTTTATAACCTACCAAAAAAAAAAAAAACCCACACAACATACTTCTTAATAGCAAAATATCCACACATTCCTACTTCTTGCATTGGGATATATAAATTTAATTATTTTGTATTCTCTCCACACCTATGTTTTTGACCTTGAAATATTCATAACAGAAGAAAAAATTCTGACATTGTTATTTCAAACCCAACTAAAGCATGAAGCCTGATTTTCACCTGACCAATTTACCTAAGAGGATTAAAAAAGTAGCAGAACTCAGTATAAAGCCACACCCCATACTATTTGACTGCCTAAAGCAAGAAGCCTGAAGGCGTACTTCAGGAACTCTTTTTCTTTCTATTACTCTAAAGGCTTTTTCTCCATCTGCTGTATCTTTACAGTTAAGGAAAGTTACCTTACAAAACCAAAAACCAAATTTATTGCCTTCAATTCCAACCCATGGTGACCCCATGTGTTTTAAAGTAGAACTATACTCCGTAGAGGTTTCAATGTGGTGCTGTGGTTAAGGCATCGGGCTGCTAACCAAAAGGTTGGTGGTTTGAATTCATCAGCTGCTTCATGGGAGAATGAGGCGGCATTCTGCTTCCAAAGAGATTCACACCCTTGGAAACCCCATGGGGTCAGTATGAGGCGGAATCAACTCGATGGCAGTAGGTTTGATTTTTTGACCTTTCAGAAGCAGATTACCAGGCCTTTCTTTTGTGGCACTACAGGCTGGATTTGACCCACCAACCTGTAAATTAGTAGCTGAGAGCAAACTGTGTAACCCAGGGACTGGTCAGGTTCCTTCCAAGGAGTGGCTGGTGGGTTTGAACTGCTAGCCTTCTGCTTAGTAGTCAAATACCTTACGCACTATGCCACCTGCACTTCTATTTTGTAGAATATCCCTCAATTTGGGTTTGTCCTGTATTTTTTTTGTGGGAAGACTGGGGTTATGGATTTTTAGGAGGAAGACAACAGCAAAGTACATTGTCATCATTACATCATATTAATACATGCTATTGACATGATTGATTCCTGATGATGATAATCACCTGTTTGTCTACTTACTGTGAAGTTTACTTTTTCCCTTTTAATACCTCTCTGGAAGGAAGTCATCATGCATAGCCCACACTTAAGAGTTTGCTTCACCTTGCTGAGGGTGAGTGGATATATAAATCATCTAGAATTCTTCTGTACAGATTTGTTTATTCTATCTTATACTTATGTATCTATTCATTCATGCAATCACTTATATCAATATAGATTCAAGGCCCTTGAATTATAATCCAATAATGTTATTTATGTTGTTCAAATGATAGCAGCTTTCACCACTGTGAGCTCTCATTTGGTTCCAGAGTCCCTTTGACATCACCTATACCATTTTGTTTTATGGTTTACTTTCTAGCACTACAAGGTATTTCAGGCTCATCTTGTATTTTCCTTGCTCCAGCCCTAGAATCATCTTTTCTCCAAGGAGCTTTGGTTCCTTTTAATGAAGAATGACATTAGAAACTAAGATCCGAAGTCTGGCTATAGATTTAGTTTTAAAATGTAAAATGACTATTACGTACTTTTTATCTACCAACACTGCAAAATAAATCGAGTAAGTACTATATTTTACAAAAGAAAAGTGAAGTAGACAGGCTAGAGTCCATGTTTTTTAAAACTAGCTCTATGCTTTCCAATTACCAAGTCAACTGTTCCTAAACAATCTAGGAAATATGAGTTCATATGGTTGATCTGGTATTATTCAGAAAGGCAGAAACTATTTCATGGTTCTAAGAAAGATCTCTTGAATCAGAGAAATGAGAATTAAGAGTCTAGTTTTGCCACATAATTTATCCAATGTCCACTTAATGACAGTATGGGGGGAGGGGGTAAGAAGTCTAAAAAGGGTAACATTTTGTTTGAGAACTGAAAGCCTTATGAAATCCTAGAGAAGAGTATTCCAGACTGAGGAAAAGACAAGAAGCAAGAACAAGGTTAGAATGTTCAAGGAAAGGAAAAGCCTGCATGGCTGCAACTTACTGACCTAAAGTAAGAATGGAAAATAAGGTTTCATTTGAAAAATAAACAAACACTTGGGAGGTTCTAAGTAGGGGAAAGAAATCTGGTTTACCTTTTAAACAAGACCATTGGCAATTGTGGTTAATGGATTATAGGAAGGTAAAAATTGGAAGCAGTTAGGAGTGTGTATCACAGGAATGAATACTCAGAGTTGGGTACCCAGGACTGAGATGACTGCCATGGAAAGGAAGCTAATTGAATAGACTTGAGAGATATTCAGGGGGCAAAGCCAACAGAGCTTGCCAATATGTGATATGGATGCTGAGTGAAAAATTAAATGAAGAAAATTGTGGGGTTCAAGGTTTGAATGTGTGGGTAAAGTGCCATATACTGAGTTGGGAAAAACTGAGGAAGAAAGTTGACTGGCACCCCCTCCTTTATTTTTTGAAAGTTAACCCTTAAAGCCCAGTTTCTTCATCCATAAAATGGGACTCAGATAACAAAACTGGATTAAATCCATGGCAGAAGAATACCTGTTAATATAGGGTCTAATCAAAAGAGGTGACTTATACCACATTTTCCACCACAAATCAAAGCTTCACGTTTTTTTTTTTTCTCTTTGCAAATCATAAACACTTAAAAGTAGTAAAATATATTCCACAGAGAAGTATACATTTCAAGACACATCCAAGTTCAAATGAAAATCCTTGTTCGGCCTTTTGACTAGCTTTGTGACCTTGGAATGTTCTGTAAGTCACCATTTACTTTTCTCCAAAATGGAGGTACAGATATCTAAATCAGGGAGGTGTTTGTTGTAAAGACTCAACATACTGCATATTTTATACTTCTCATTACCAACTCACATTCCAACCATGAAAAAGCTTTCTTACCTTCAATTTCACTTTCCATTATAGAGCTGATACTTCATATTGAAATACCATAGTTAAATTAAGCTATAGTGCTTAAAAACTTTCCTAGTTCCTTCCAATATATCAACTAACAAGGTCTGCATTTCCCCAAAACTTATAACCACCAACCATGGCGCCTAACTTCAAGCATGGCCATTCCTTTCCTTACGAATTTGAAAACCCAAGTCTTGTGGCCCAAAACTGCTACAAACCAGAACATTTTAGAAAAGTCTATCTTCAAAACTATTCGGATGCAAGAACTGTATTTCATTTCCTCAAACTTTTCCACATTAGGAAAAGAAATTCCCAGATACGATGAAAGCTCTCTGAGGAGCAAGGTAGTAAAAACATCTGGAGTTAAACAATCAAAAAAAGAAAACCCTTCCTAACGCTATCAAGCTTCAGAATTGCACAGGGAGACCTATGAGAGAGATGATTAACTTGTTAAAGCACTTTTTTTTCTTTTGAAGTTTCTAGATTCTTTTTCTAACGAAAAGGGCATCATCTTTCAGTGATTACCAAATATTACAATATTTGCTTTTAAATCTCTTAGAGAAGGCAAGAAGTAGGAGAAAAACAAGCATTTTACATTGGAATAAAGGAATATCTAGTTTTTCACGGAAAAAAAAAATTATCCAATTTTGCAATTTTCACAGAATCGGCTTATTATGGGCAGAGTCACTGTTTCATATGAAGAGTGCTCTTTCTCCCGCTTTCAACTCCAGACCTTGAAACTAAGTTACTGAGCAAAGGGGAAAAATGAACTTTCTTGTACGGAGGTTCCAGTTAACTTTGCTCTGAGGGGAGGCCCTCTATTTGGCGGGAGTGGGCAGGGAGACCCTGAAATGCTGAGGGGTCGAAGGGGTGGCCCCTCAGGGCGCGGGACGTGCGGAGGAGGCGGGAGATAACGCGAGCAGATCTCCCGCGCCCGCCACAGGACTGGGGAGGCGAAAAATCGGGAACATGGACTTCGGCTCTGAGGATGAGGGGCAGAAATAATCGAAGTAGGGGAGCAGGGAGTGGGGGGTCCAGCACCTGGATAGACCTGGGGGGCTGCCTGTCGCGCGCCCTGTCAGAGCCGGACGCCCGGGTGGGGGAGGGGAGGGGGCATTTGGCGCCTAGTCAGCGGGTGGGGATAGGTGGATCTCCCAGCACAGAGGAAGCGCGCCCTAGGAGCCACGACCTCCAGCCCTTCCGGACTGGCCTTCGGGTCTGGCGTGGCAGTGGGACCGGAGCCCGCCATCCCTCCTAGGCTCACAGGCTTCCGCCCCTTAGCCCCCCGGGCTTCTCTCCGGGTCCCAGGAACAGCGCCGCCTCCGCCCAGCGTGGGGCCACGCGCACAGGTTCGAAGGAATCCCGGGTGAGGGGTTGCAGGGTCACTTCTCACCATCTAAGGCAAGTCCCCTTTCTCGGCCCTCTCCCCTCACTCACTGTCCGAGGGGCGCGGGCGCCCGGCGGCTGTCAGAGGGCTGCAGCGGCAGGAGCACGAGGATGGACGTGAGCAGAAGCTGCAGGGACTCCGGCTCATGCCAGCGGAGGTGGCCTCTGCCTTAGGTGAGGGAGCAGCTCCTACAGCAGCAGTCCGGTCGCTCGCTTCATAGAGCTGTAACATCTAAAAGGCGCCAGCTGGTACTTTTAAAATGTTTGAATTTGGTGCCCAAATCTACATGTCCCAATAGGATGCCTCGCTCTCACACGCACCCCAATAAGGAGGTGGAGGGCGGGGGCGCCGCCAATCTAGGCCAATCCGAGGCTCCGGAGGCGGGGCCAGCCTCCAAGTCCAGCCTCCTCGCATCTCGCCGCTTCCTCGGGTCCCTAGAGATGCTCAGGTCGGGGCGGGGCCGAGGGCGGGGTTCGCCAGAGATGGCCGCGTCCCCGCCGCACGTGGAGGGGTCCTACCACGCATGCGCGCGCCCGCCAAGCTTCCATCCATAGGCCTGGTGCGAATTTTGATCTCAGCCTGAGGACAATTCCGGTTTCCGTCTGAAGATCTCCGGTGAGTCCAATGGGTAGCCGAGTTTCTTCGATCATCTCCGAAGTGGTAGCTTGGTGAGCTGTACCTCTGGTAGTCCGGGAATTCAAACTTTCCGGAAGATGAACCCTCCCCCATCCCTACTTATCCCGCCTCTCTAGGATTTACCCGCGCGCTTCTCGCTCTCTCGTAATTTCGCCCCATCTCTGCCCAATGCGTCTGCGCAGCCGCCCCCCGATGGGCGTGGCCACAGAGTTGGCGGTTTGGCGCCTGCGCACTGGGGTACCCCGCGGTTCTCTTCGGCGACCTGAGCAGCGGTAGGCGGGTTTGGGGTCAGCCTGCGCTGGAGGGCGCGAGGCGGCAGGGGCAGCCACTACTGTGGCAGGAGACCGGATGTTGTGCGTCTTGCTGAGATTTTTCGGTGGGGGTGGGGAGACAGTCATTTCTTTCCTGTAAACACATTTGTTTTCATTTGCAATCACAATTCTTCAGCCACCATTGTTTTGTATGGACAGCAAGTGTCTATCATTGCTCTTCTGGGCTTTTCTTTCTTTCTTTTAAGGGCCACGCGGAAAAAGCTTTAGTCCTGCTCCAAAAGAGAGGCTTCACCAAGGATCCGGGTGCCTTGGGAGTTGGATCCCCAGTTGCCAATGCTTGAGGCCCTCGGCTCAGTGAATGCTTTTCTAGTGATGGTAAGAGTGGGTGTCACTGTTAAGTCTTTGATGACATACTGTACGGTATTACTGCTTGTGCTGATCTTTTCACTAGGTGTGTGCCACTTGAGCAGCGATATTGTATTCCCTGGATTTAGCTTTTGGCCACAGCACAGTAAAGACAAGACAAACTCCCAAAAGCCCAATTCCATCTCTGCCTTTTCCCTCTCACTCTTCTGTACTGTGAGAATATTCGACCCTCAGTAGGCACTCAGTTCATTGGGCAGGAAGTCCTGTGTGAGGCAGAGACAGGAGGTGCTGAGTAGATCCTGCTTTATGTAAAATTTTGATACTTCAGCGTAGCTTTTTTGTACTAATTTTTAGGTTTTGGAAATAACTGCATTAAAATAGTATTTATGGCCAAAATTTTTGATGTCCTTTCCTTTGGGAAATTTACTAATGTGGAAAAATTTTGACAATTTCAGGAAATGCAAAGGGAAAATAATGGAGTAGAGAGTGGAGTAGGGGCATAGATGAACTACTTTGGGACCTCTGGAAGATTTCTCAGGCCCTAAACCAAGGTTGGGGAGCTCTGGTAGCATAGTGGCTAAGGCACTTGACTGCCAACCAGAAGGCTGGCGTTCAAACCCATCAGCCACTCCTTGGAAGGAAGATGGGGCGATCTACTTCCGTAGTGATACTGCCTCAGAAACCCAAGGAGAGGTTGCTATAAGTCGGGTCGACTTGATGGCACATAACAACAACAAACCAAGGTTGAATGATAAGCTGGCAATACAGAGGTCTGCAGGACAGTTGCTCTGAACATGCTTGAGTGGTTCAAGGGCAAGAAGGAAAACCAGAGGCTGACCAGAGGGCATTGAGCAAGGAAGAGTAGGAGACCAGGTCCAGAGGTAGGCAGAAACCGATTCTATAGGACCTTGTAGGTCTGCACATAGAGTTAGGAGTTTTTTCTGATTGCAGAAGATAGCTGTTGGAGTGATTTAGCAAGGGACTTACTTGTTGAATGTAAATAGAACTATTATAGTTCCTCATTTTGTGCTTTGTAAATGTTAGCTTTCAATTCTCACAATAACCTTAGCGTTATTTTCATTTTGTGACACTTACGAGTGCAAGTTAATTCCGACAGAATCACACACCTAGTAAGTGAAAATGCCAGCCCTAGGCTTGAGGATCCACGGACTTTTCTTACACATTATGCTGGGGAGTAACTGCTGGGCTCCCGATTATAGTACATTTTCACGTCACTTCCCTTGTTTCACCTTAGAATTCAGCTTTATTTTCACATGTGGATGGAGATAGGAAATTTTAGGGAGAGGGTCCTTGTTAAATTAGTGGAGTGTCTAGAATATAACCTTTTGGGTCATAACGACAGCTTGAAAGGCATTCTAAACAATATAAAAAGCCAAGTGTGTTTTTTTGCTTACTGGGATAGTTTGTGTTTTTTGGTTTATAGAGTTACTTAAATCATTGATTTTAAATATTTGAGCTTAATTGATGATGATGAAATATAATTGAGGATTAACTTGTTCAGCAGGTTCATGAGTGTCTATTTCATCTTTAGTAAGAAACATAGACTAGGCCATTTAAAATTGTATTAGATGGCAACATATGGTATATACCTTTGTTCTTTCAGTCAGTATCAGTCAAAATTGTTGGCTCATTAGCAGTGACAGTTACCCAGTAAGCAAGGTAAACATGAGTTTACTTGTGTTTACTTACTTACTAACCTGTACTGAACAGTTTCACGTATTTTCACTGCATCCAAGATTCTGCTGTTGATATGACTGGCGTCTGTGTCTTTGCCACCCTCACATCATCTTCCTACAGAATCAAAGCCTCTTTTCAAATGTACAGTCCCTGAGAGGGATGGTGTACCCAGTAAGCAAGGTTAAGTACGGGCTTACTTGTGCTTACTAGTCTGTAGTAAACAGTTTGGTATCTCTGAAATTGATCACTACACATTAGTACACAAGCACAAGTAAGCCGTGCTTTACCTTGGTTATTGGGTGAACTGCCTTTGGTTGTTAGGTACAGCATGAATTGCAGAGAGAACTCCCCTTACTGTTGTAGCAAATTCTTATACAGACCTACAACATGCAACACATTGTGGGGTTTATGGAATGATTAGCATGGTGCCTGCCACCTAGGAATTGCTCAGGAAATTCTTTAGAAGAATCACTGCATGTGGGAGTTGGGAGGGAATGAAGTGTGTAAATGGCTATAATGGATTCTGAAGAAGACAAATGTATCTAAAGTTACAGTGGAAATTTTAATAGGATAAGCAAATTAGCTGTAGGACCGGGTTTCTCAACCTTGGGGCTTTTGACATTTTGGACCAGAAATTTGTCAGCAGCCATCCTTTACAATGTGTTTAGCAGCATCCCTGGTCTCTAACCACTTTCTCCAGACATTGCCAAGTGTCTCCGTGGGGGACATATTCCACATTGACGCAGAGGATGTCTTTTTTGATGGAACGGGGAGGGCATTCTTCCTTGGCAGAAGGAACAAAACAGGAAGAGCTTAAATGCAGGGCACATTTATTAGGAAAAGGATGTGGTATAAAAGCGTGGCATGTGAAATGGGCTACTAAGGAATTATGCTGGATACAGATCATGGAAGTATTGAATCCCTAGTTAAGAGCTGGGGTTTTATTTGAGAGGCAACCTCTTCAGTTTTGAGCAAAGGAGGGAAGAGATCAGAACCTTGCTTGTTAGGAAGATTAATATTGTGGTTATTAATATGTAGCCTGATGTAGAGAGCAGAGAGAGAATGCAGGGAGAAAAGTCAGGACTGTGAAAGGCATACAGGAGTAATTCTTGACAAGAGTAGCAGCAGTGGGACTGGAGAGGATGAGTGTAGTAGAAAAGTAGGAATTAGGAATAAACTGAACATGAGGATGAGGGATCAGAAGTGACTACATGTTAAATTTGGGAGGGAGAATGGTAATGCCATTAAAAAAGAGATCACATGATGAGACACAAGTTGTAGAGGAGTATGCTCTGGTAGCATAGTGCCTAAGGCACTTGACGCTCACCAAAAGGCTGGTGGTTCAAACCCACCAGCCACTCCTCAGAAGGAAGGTTGGGCAATCCTACTTCCGTAGTGATACTGCCTCGGAAACCCAAGGAGGGGTCGCTATGAGTCGGGGCCGACTAGACGGCAAACAACAACGACGACGCCAGGTTTCACTTTAAACAATGGTATCTATACATCTTCAAAAGTGCCATTCTAGCTGTGTGGATTATGATAAACTTTGGTGCTGTATGCCCTTTTGAAATTAAATTTTGGTGGCATAGTGCCTAAGGCATTTGACTGCTAACCAGAAGGCTGGTGGTTCAAACCCACCAGCCACTCCTCGGAAGGAAAGTTGGGCAATCTACTTCCGTAGAGATACTGCCTTGGAAACCTGCTGTGAGTTGGTTCTGATTCAATGGCAGTTTGTTTTTTTTTTTGGTTTTCTGAACAATATACCATATTTAGACAAATACTTTAACTGCCTTTTAGCTATCCAGTGTGTGTTTTACAGCATGTTAAAGTCCTTAACAGACAAGAATTAGGAACAGTCTCCATTAATGAGGTGATGTGAGAAGTGTACCAGTGTGTGTTCACTGTATTCCCTGAACTACCCTCCTCCCATTCATTTATTAAGCACACAGTTTTGGACAGGAGTCAACCAATAAATTTACTACCTAGGGACCAATGTTGTCATACACGCACTGCTGTTGAGTCGGATCCGACTCCTAGTGACCCCTCCAGATTGCCTCATCTTCCTTCCGAGGAGTGACTGTTATGTTTTAACCTCCAGCTTTCTGGTTAGCAGTCAAATGCCTTAGGCACTACAGTTAGTTCTGCCTACGGGCTAAGGTGCCCATTAGGTTGGACCTTGAAATCTATTTGCAAATGTAAAGTCTGTATTTTTCTAGGCAGATGGGGCAGCAAAAGAAAAGGTGACAGTGCCTTGCTTATAATTGAGAGCGCTATGTAGAGGGCTTGTTTGTGCAAACATCTACCAAGTGTTAAGGCTTGAGGTTCCAGTAAGCTCCACATCAGGAATTACTCTTTTCTCTACCCTTGGCTTTTCCTAGGTTTCAGTAATTACATTTGATCATCTGGGAGCATGGTGGGAACTGATGTCAGCTCACAGAATTTGCCCACTGCTCTGCCTGTGTTCATACTAACCAGTAAACCAGCTGCCATTTAGTCAGCTCTGACTTGCAGCTACCCCTTGTGTCAGAGACCTAGGCCCGCCCCATCAGGTTTTTAATGACCAATTTTTGTTTGTTTTTCTCAGAAGTAGATCTCCAGGCCTTTCTTCAGAGGCACCTGTGGGTGAATTCAAACCTCCAACCTTTCAGTTAGGAGCCGAGTGTGTTATCCATTTGCATCACCTAGGGCCTCTGTTAAAATTACTGATACAGTTTCTGTTTTCTGACTGGACCCTGACTAATGCAGTATTTATTACCATATACCTATTTTCTTTCATGTTTGAAGTTTTCCATAATGGAAAATTACTGAATTTTTATCATACATTAAAGATTTTATATAAAACAAAGGAGTGTTTACTTTTGTCTATTTTATGTAAAGAGTCCAAGATTTACAACCACAGTCAATGATTACATTTGTATTTTTTCCTAATACACTGATTTAAATAAATGATCTGTTACAAGAATACATGTATTACTCTGTGTTAACCCATGTTTTTCAAGAGGATATTGGTGAATACGTACAATGATTCGCCATAGTAGCCTTTTCCTAACAATAAATCAATTTAACCCTTTCCTGGAAATAACCTCTACTAAGGACTCATAGTCAGCATATTCCTTCAGGGACTGCACCAGTTCATCCAGCAGATGCTCTCCTTGCATAAACATCTCCAGATTGTGCAGGGACTTGTTTATTCTGTGATCTGTGACCCGGTTCTGTGGAAAATTGTATGTCCTTATTTTCTCTGACCTTCCTTTAGTTCCAATCTAAATATAAAAAAGATATGAGATGCAGTTAGGTACAGCACAACTTACCACCTACAAATTTACCTGGAAATTAAATCCTTGATTTAAATTATGAAACATAATGCAAGAACAAAGTTTTGAATATTCTGAATCCCCAAATGACAAGGAAAATACAATGTAGAGCAAAGAATGTGCGCTTTAAAGTCACAAATTAGTCTTTGAATTCCATCTCGGCAACTTCAAGCTCTAGGCCTTCAAGAAATTTACTTCAACTCTTAATGTTTTCCCATCTATAAAGTATGAACAATAACACCTACCTATAATGGGTGGAAATGACAAAATTATGTAAAAAATTTCTAGCCTGTGTTCTAGCCCAAATGGAGTGCCCATGCATACACTGTTTCGTGACATTTCCAGAAGTGAATTTTGACGTCATTCACCCTCATTTAATAGTCTCAAAATTTTACCTTTGATCATATTCATATAATAAAGATGTAAGCCATGGTCAAGAAGTCTTGGATTGAGTTTGGTAGTATCTCAGTAATCAGAAAATAATTGAAACTGTGTTTGCTCTGGGACAGTTTACAGCCAGGCCCAAGAGTGACAGAGTTCCTTTTGGCTGATCTGCACCAGGCATGCTGCACCAGAGACAGGCAAAGGGTTGGGTGGAGTGGTAACAGGGCTGTGTGCAGGGCTGCCAAAGCCTGAGTAAGGGACAGTCCCGTGGTGAGTGGGAGCCCCATTCTCATGTGGCCAGCCCCACATGAAGCCAGGCAGCAGGATGGTGTGGTTGCAGGCACACACACTGCCCTGGCCCCATGAGGCGCCCAGGTGACCAACTGGACTTATCCAAGAAAGGGACAGCATGACCGACCACTCAGCACCCATGGCTCTCACGCCTGCCCTGTGGTGTCCACACAGGCAGAAAATTCAAATGGCCCAGGTGCAGCGGCCAGTCAGCCAGACACTGGGACATATGTATGTGACTGGCATGCCAGCCTCACCTGTCTAAGTGCTTCTCTGGCCTCAGGTGCACAAACATGCACCTCCTGGGTGGAGGCCAGATGGCCTGAGGAGGCAGTTTCCAGGGTGGAAAGAGTGATTTCCTCCCACACTGGAGAAAGTGATTTGCAGAGCAGGGAAGGAATCCTGCAGGGAGGGGGAGGAGCTGCTTTAGAGACTCTTAGGGCAGGCTAGCAAAGGTCTGCTGCTAGGAACCAAACCTCCATGTCACAGGCACCAAGATGGAGACTTAACATTAAATCCGTTGGACAGAAGGAAAAAAAAAAAAGATGGCAATCACCTACATGTAAAAAAATTAAAAAAACACTGGTGTAGCACACTTATGAAAATAACGTGCAGGGGTTGTACAGGAAGTAAAAACTGTATCCTGTATGTATGATTTGAGTAAACATGGTCTTCAAATGTTAGCTGAATATATTCAGTCTCTCTGAATTACCTTGTTATCTTCAGTGGTGACAAACCAAAACCCACTGTTACTGAGTCGATTCTGATTCATAGCAAACCTATAGGACACAGAATTGTCCCATAGGGTCTCCAAGCCTGTAAACCAATCTTTAAGGAAGCAGCCTGCTTTGTTTTTCTCCTGTGAAACCACTGGTGGTTTTGAACTGCCAATCTTTTGGTTAGTAAGCTAGCGCTTAGGCACTGCACCAGTAGGGCTCCTTCAGTGGTGACAAGGTGACAAACTGCCCAAATTGAGGAATTTTTAAAAAGGTGGCTTAAAAACCTGAGAAAAATGCCCTTGATTGAAGAAAACAGGGCAAAGGCCTAAGATCACTGTAATACAAGTTTAGCCTTTGATTAAGCTACTTCAGTAGTTTTCTTATTTGGACAATTAAGATAATTTTGGCATACATAAAAACGAGGTTATCTAAAATACATTCTTTAGACACTTTATAAAAGCTGTTCACCTGAATCTTCCTAGCACTGGATCTTTTGCTTGTTTCTTCTTCTAGACGCATGCTGTACAGTTTTGCATGCAACTTTTTCATAGCCATCTCTCTGTTTTTCAGTTGTGATCTCTCTTGCTGGCATTCAGAAACAACACCTGAATAGTGTTATGAGAATTAAAGAGTTTTAATAGAAAAATCTTCTTCAATTATTATCCTTTTTCTTCTCCATCCTTTTTTCTTCTTCCTTTATGAGGGAGAAAAATAGGATTCTACAATAAAAGGAAGACTATCAACAAGAAACTTCTATAGAGTTTATCAAAAAATACACAATTTAAGTTTGACTGACAGTACAGAGTATCTCCATATTGATGGCATACATACTAAACATTAAGCATGTATGATTCAATATAGATTGCTTTTTCACACTGTCAGCTCCAGCCACCATAGTAGTAACAACTCATTACAGAATCTGGGAGCTCTGGTAGTGTAGTGCCTAAGGCACTTGACTGCTAACCAGAAGGCTGGCGGTTCAAACCCACCAGCCACTCCTCCTTAGTAATACTACCTTGGAAACCCAAGGAGAGGTCGCTGTGAGTCGGGTCCGACTTGACGGCACTTAACAACAACAACAACAACATAGAATCTAAGATAGAAAGAAATTAAAAATCCTCTTCTTGTTGTTGTTATGTGCCGTCAAGTTGCCTCCGATTCATAGCGATCACCCTTGGGTTTCCAAGGCGGTATCTCTACAGAAGTAGATTGCCCAACCTTCCTTCTGAGGAGTGGCTGGTGGGTTTGAACCTCTAACTTTCCAGTTAGCAGTCAAGTGCCTTAGGCACCATGCCACCAGAGCTCCCCTATGACAGAACAGAACTGCCCCATAGGGTTTCTAAGCTGTAGCCTTTACAAAAGAAGATTGACACAAATTTTTTCTGCAGAGCAGCTGGTAGGTGCAAACCACTGTGGACCTTTGTGTTGGCAGCTGTGAGATTAGTATCTGGGCCACCTGGGCTCCTCACCAGGGATAATCACTACTATTGTTTGAAGTATTTCCTTACAATTTTTTTCTATACATTTTTCTGGTGGCATAGTAGATAAAGCATTTGGCTGCTAACCAGAAGATCAAAGTTCAAACTCACCAGCTGCTTCACAGAAGGAAGATAGGGTGATCTACTTCCATAAAGATTTACAGCCTCAGAAACCCAATGGGGGTTGCTATGAGTAGGAATCAACTCGATGGCAGTCTGGTTTTTGTTTTTATATATTACATAAGACATCATCTTAAAGTGTAACAGGAGATCTTCCCATATTTAGAAAAACAGATCAATTCAGCATTCCCAGCAACAACTTCCAATTGAGAATTATGCCTATTTGAGATCTGTGAAGAGATTGTATTCTTCTCTTCAACATAACCAAGGTTTGCTATTCATATACTGTTTATCACATGTGACTGCAGTAATGCTTGTAATCCACATGTGGTTCTACCTAGTAGTCTACTGAAGCCTTAACGAAGAGTTACAGCCTTCTGCTTAACCATTTAGAACCAGAACTTTTGGAAGTCTGTGGATGGACTTAATGGGAAGCCGTTCTGAAATTATATGCAAACCTCTGCATATATGTATGCTTTCGGGGACCAGGTCCAAACCCTTCATTTTCTCAAAGGAGTCGTGTCGTGTCCCCTCCCTCCAGTGATCTAAACCAATTGCTGATATATAAGAACCCATAAAATTACTTCACTGTGAAGGTTTTTTTTAAAATAATGAGAAGTACTTAGAATAAACCTGTGGAAAGACTAGCCATACCTCTTCTTCATACTCACTAATATCCTACAGAGTTTCAGCTAAAACAAAAATCCCAAACTCAATGCCATCAAGTCCACTCTGACTCATGGCAACCCCCACTGGGTTTCCGAGGCAGTAACCTTTACGAAGTAGACTGCCCAGTCTTGCTTCCAGAGTTTCAGCTAAAGATGAGTTTAAATGAATTAAGTAATTAATAACAGAATGTCGAAAAACAAAAAACCAAACCCACTGCTGTCGAGTTGATTCAACTCAGAGTGACCCCTCCCCTTGGGTTTCTGAGGTGGTATCACTACAGAGATAGATTGCCCAATCTTCCTTCTGAGGAGTAGCTGGTGGATTTGAACCACCAAGCCTTCTGGTTAGCAGTCAAATGCCTTAGGCACTATGCCACCAGAGCTCCTACAGAATGTTTAGTTGCCTGTAACCCAATGCCATTGAGCCATTTCTGACAGCAACCCTACAGGACAGAGTACAACTGCCTCACAGGGTTTCATGGGCTGTCATCTTTATAGAAGCAGATTGCCTCATCTTTCTCCCACAGAGCATTTGGTTATCAGTTGAATACTTTAACTACTGTGCCACCATAGCTCCTGTAATCGTTATGTACTCCTCTATACTGTTGTTGTTATGTGCCATCAAGTCGGACCCAACTCATAGCGACCCCTCCTTGGGTTTCCGAGGCAGTATCACCACGGAAGTAGATTGCCCCATCTTCCTTCCGAGGAGTGGCTGGTGGGTTTGAACCGCCAGCCTTCTGGTTAGCAGTCGAGTGCCTTAGGCACTATGCTATCAGAGCTCCTGAGGGTCCATTTTGGTGGAAAATTAGTCAAGTACTTCAGAAAGGGTTATTTTTTCAGTGTCTCATTCTGTGGGAACTGGGCCATACCTGTTGGAAGGTGAACAATCCGGACTGCACTGTCCGTGGTATTTACATGCTGGCCCCCAGCTCCACTGGCTCGCTTAGTATCAATTCTCAGATCTTTAGGATTAATCACCAGGTTAATCTATATGTAAGAGAAAAATCAGGATTTTTTAACAAAGTTATGTATACCAACTGTTCAGAGATAACAACTATTCATTCATAAATACAGTGAATCCTGTGAGAGCTGGAACTTGACAGAACTGCCTTGTTTTCTGGGCCTCTCATTTTCTCCCTTTGACAGTGTGTAGTCATACCACTTATCTATTGCTCCTTTTAGTGGAACATATTTGTGTTTTCCTTCTCTGACAGGTTTCTGACTTATACAGTGTTAAAGGGGCAAGGAGGCTGCCTTTTCAGACCTCCTCTGACCCCACAAGGGGAAGACAGAATCACCATCAGCAGCTTGAGGCCTATTCCTGTGAGGCCAGACATGCCGCCTCCCTCCAGCCCTTTCACCAACCCTGGCACCAACTGTTCCTCCCACAGCACCACCACCTCTCTGCTGGGTTCAGTAATTCACTGCAGTGGCCACAAAGAACTCACAGATTATGGGGTTTGTGAGGGAAACAACAGGCTACAATTCAAGTTCAGAAATGCATTCAGTCTCTCGCAGCCAGCCCTCACTTAGCAGCCAGCAGTCTCTCTCAGCAGCACATGTCTCTCTCATCTCTCTCAGCAAGTGCGTGTCTCTCAGGAGCACATTTTCTCAGCCAGCAGAGATTCCTTCTGCCTCTAGGAGGGCTCCTTTTGAGCCTGGCAGAGTGGCCCAAACCAACGAATCCCAATATCAGAATTCTATACACCCGAGGGAGAGAACTTCCCAGCAGATTGCTTCCTGTCACTGGCAACAGAAATACCCTTTAATAATCAGGAGCTACTCAGTTGCTCATGGCAAATTCTACCATGGAGTTTACAAAGGCTTATGGCTGGAAGAGCCATACTATGTAATTTACTACACTGCACACAGGTTCTGGCTTTCACAATTTTTATTGTATCAATAAATGCCAAATACAGAATGCATAACATTTCAGTTTAATGTTAAGAATATAAAGTAGTTAGAAGGATACTATTTTTAAAAACTTT